GAAGCACTTACAGCCCAGCGAACTTTGCGCCACTTGAGATTGGTGACTTTGGTAAGAATCGCCAGCACAGTCATATCTTCGGTGATAGCCACAGGGTCACTTGAAAAGACGAAATGGCTTTCCCTTTTATTTTTATCAATACTGGACATGGTGGTGGCTGGTTTAGGAATCCAACAACTTTTCGAGAGGCGTCAGGCAGAGTAAGGTTTAAGATTGTTTTGATAGAAATCTCGCACATATGATCAATCTGATTCAGTGTTGTTCGGTCCATTGTCTTGACTTGCTCGGTGCTTTTGTTGTACAAAATGGCAAACTCGTGAAGGGTACAATTGATTCTTTCATGTTTCAAGGCTGCTGTTAACGTATTCTCGCCATAGGATGCTTCTGTGATACCAGATGAATTAAAAATCATGGATATCGTGTTGTTGTCAAGAGTTGCCTTTTTCAGAGGAAAAGGGAATGCCTGGACCTCAAAAGCGCCGAGGGTGAGGTTAAGAAGTCCCTGTGTCTCTAACTGCACTAGTCGTGCTAAAGCATCCACTGAAGGGAGTTGGAGTCTTCTACTGAATGCCAGAGCGCTCTCCGAGATCATCGCATGCACAACAGTCTCCCAATCATCTGGGTCGTAGGATTGTGTGAGATTGATAGCTGGAATTCCCAGTCTCGACGCCACATCATCAACAGAAAAAAATAATTTGTCACTGGTGTATTTCAGAAGTTCTTGCTGGAAATCCGCTGGTGTCAAATACAACGCAACGCTTTGATCGACAAATGAGCTGTTTATGTCTTCAGAAGGAATTTCGTAGGACCAAAAAAGGTTCAAGTCCACCAAATTCGCAGCAGTGAATGTCGATTGCTGATAATTACTAGGTCTTCCATCTAAAATTGTTTGCATTGTTTTTGAAGAAGTTTCCTCTACAGACCAGCCATTATGAATCCTTATGTGTTCAGTGGTAAGTTTTAAATCTTTAGGCTGACTTCCTAATTCTGACGGAAGCAGGATTTTTATACGCATGTAAAGAAACGGTAACGTGAACTGTCCAATCGTCGGAGTCACCAAAACAAGGAACAGAAAAAGGTCTCGCAACCACATCTGTTTTGAGTGAGCTTTGGACATTCTTGTTGACTTCTTGCCCAGGAAAAAGATAGGATCTAAAATACAACAACAACAAATCTTCATTTATACACGGTAAAAAGATAAGTAAAATATAATAAAAAATCATTAAACTGGTTTACATATTCTCACTTGTCTCCCCATGCGTCAGGAGTCTCCTGCCATGCGTATATAAGGGCTGATCAACCTAGAAATATTGCCTTTAGATGCTAGCGTCTCGTTAGTCTAGTCCCTGAACTCTCTCTTGCCCCGCCCTGTAAAGGGCGGGGTAATTAAGAGAGAGAGTTCAGGGACTGGACTAGAAATTATGTGGAAACAGTAGAAAATAGGTGAGTGTCCCAATAGCTTAGTTATAGTTCTCTCATGATACTTTCAACTGCGAAATCCTTTTCAATGTCAGTGAAAAAGATTGACTTACAACATCAATACATTGTCAAACCGACAGGTAACGACAATAAACTAAACCATCATCATTGCCTTGATGTACAACCAAATTCACAGAACCAATATTGAAAGAGATGTATGATAATCCGTTAGGAGAATTGACATCATGATCCGCTATGTAGCAGCAGGGAAATGCAAAGGGAGGTTGGATGGGTGATTCTGAACTTCCCATTTCCCGTACCTTGTACCCCCGGTTCCCGCCCCTTCTGTTGTGGCTCTCGCCTCTTTGTACTTTTTTTATTGCACAATATTACGCAATGTGTTCCTATTTCGCCCGGTTCCTCCCGCGCCCTTTATTCCATGGTTCCCGCGCCCCTGTCCACTAAAATATAAAACGGAAAACACTTCTGCCTGATTTTCTCTATAGAAAAGCATTTTCCGTTTCCGCGTGTTCTTGTTTAACCAAGCAAGACTGAATAACAAGGCCATCCAAATTCTCTGCTTGAGTTTGCACACGAGTCTTTTTCACAAATCACCGAATTACAAAGTAAAACAAACATCAAACAGCTTCAAACTTTCGTTATAAGTTCATTAGTTATCACCTAAACTATATCATTCCATATTAATTACCCCTTATTTACCATTCTACATGTATACTGCCTCTTATTTACCGCTCTATACCACCCCTTATTCACTGGTAATATACCACTCGACACGTTTCAATTCATTCTCCAAATTAACATTACCGTTTTCATATTTCTTGGGCCGTTTTTCAACAACGGCTCCAAAATATTTGTTGTCAAGCCTCCACAACGTAATGCAACACTTTCAGTTTCCGGGAAGTTTGCACAATCTTGAGCGAGCTAGTTAAGAAAAGCTCCTTGATTAACTAATTAAACTTATAGCCTGTTCTTGCTATCGTGTATACACAGTAAAACATATGGGTTAAACCACCGTACCTGTATAAAGCTTGTGACAAAATAGCACTGAGAGAGCTGAACTTCAGACTTCGATCACACGGAAGTTCAATTCATTCACCGGACAGTTAAACTTTGCCAAACTCCTTCAAAACTCCTCTATATTCACGTCTCGTTTTGTATGCCAGTGGATTCAAACCTCAACGAGCCAAGTATCGTCGATCGGATTCCTAGCTTTGCATGTGAACGCACGTAAAAAGTTATGGAAGAATCGAACCCGTCAAAGCTAAAGAAATATTTGCATACTGTCATTTCACTTTCACAACTGGAAACTTTTGTTCACATCTCGGTGCCGTTACAACTCAGTAGTTCAACATTTCCATATGGATTAACATACAATTTCTCCATTCTAGTTCCCATACATTCCGTGTAGAACGTTTGGGAGAATTTCTTTAACCATCTATTTCTCGGCTCAGCTTTGGTGATCAAGTACTCTATTCTTATGATATGAACGATATGTTTTGACTTTGTGTTAACTAGCTTTGTTAGGCGAAATTCGATGTTGGTCGCTGATGGGATTGCAAGTGTTTAACAGGAACAGGGCAAAGAAACAAATTCAACGTAGTTTTGTTTTTACAAAAGAAAGTTTATTTCTCGTGATTGGAAGTTATTTTAAATGCTGAAGCTCTCCAGACAAATTCATAACAAACTCTCAATTGTTTCACTTGAAAGAATGCCGATGAATAAAAGTTGAATCATCGACACTTTTGGAAGTCGTGGAATAGCATCTTGCGAGAAATCGTTCAACAGGCTTGGATGCTTGGAGTTATCGGTTTTTCCCACAAGAAACGGACCGTATATATCAACGAAAGCATCCTTTAAATTATATATTATTTCCTTCAGGGCTCGTTCCTTCAGAATTAAATTGCAATCTGCCCCTCTCTGTCAACTCATTTGTTGTGAGGTCAAGTGCATTTGAAAATATTCAGAGTGACTGATTATAGCGACATCAAACGGTTACCGACTCAGGGGCGGATTTAGGGGAGGGGCCGTGGGGGCCGCGGCCCCCCCCCCCCCCCCCTTTTGTCTGGGATTTGTTTGAAAACAACGGCTAATCGGGCTGCAAACGCACTGTTGCTGCTCTTTGTTCACAAGGACATAGCTTTGGATTATGGTGCAATTGTTGGCGACTATGCCAAGCGCAACAAAGAAGGATGACATTCATCCCTGCAGTGACTCTTACTTTTAGTCATCTCCACAAGGACAATCACATAGCTTTGGATTATGACGTATTTGCATTCATCAATCCAATGAAGATGGGATGACTCTAGTTTAATTAGCTCCCATGCCACTCCGGTTACTAGAATTTCGTTTGTTCGAGTTGATTCAAGTCATCTTGACCACAACCTCAACTGCATTGTTCAATATGGGATCCTGGCATTTGCCAAATGTAAGCGCCCAGAATGCACCAGATTGCATCTCAGAGTACTTAAATTATCAAACATTTTCCTGGGGAGCATGACCCCGGACCCCCCTAGAAAGGCGCTCTAAAGCGCGCCCACACTATAATACCAATTTGGGCTAAGAGTCTAGTTTAGGGCACGAAATCTTGTTGTTACAGATCGTGCGGTGAGAGGTTGGGGGGGGAGGGAGGGAAGGAACTGAAGCACTGTTCACCTGCACGCACACCTGCAACTCCGGCGGCTAAACATTATAAGCTCCATTTCCGCCATTAACGCGCTCATTTCAGTGGGCGGGGAATAATCAGTTAAAAGATTATCATATATACAGTTGGCAAATTAAAATACAGACGTTTTTGAGCCACTGACGATAACAGGAAGTTGAATGTTCTCTTTTTTGTCGCGTACGTATTATCGACTATTCGTCCTTAACGGCAAGTTGAAAATGCTCAAACCAGGATTTCCCAGGTGAAAACGCGCCAAAAAATAAGAACATTCGCCTTCCGGTTGCTGTCCTTCGTCTCATCCTTTACCGTGTTGCCGACAAACGCGCTATTGTTAAAAATATATATACAAAAATCAATAAAAATAACAGCTGCCCATCATGGACGCCTGACAACGGAACGTTTTGTTAGCTTAGAACGCTGTTCTTTAGTATTTAATTTTTTTCACGACTCGGCAGTAATTAAAACAGTTGTTGTTTTACTGCCGAGTCATAAAGTTCAAGCGATTTTCTAGAGCAGGTACGCGATATTTTGACAATATTTTTAGTTGCGAAGTCTTTTTTCCCCCTTATTCTCTTCCTTACATATTCATATGCGTTTTCCCGAGTGTCTTAGCTGATGGCTTTCAAGTGAATCTTTAAAACTTTATCAAATTTTGGATCAGTCCTTTTTATTCGCTATCCGGTTTTATAATATGAACGTATCGCTTCAGGGGTTACGGATGGCGTAAAATTTAAAGCTGATCATAACTGATAGCTTCAGGGCATTCCGGATGTTTTTGACACATTTTGCCCCTCTCCACCCTTGTACTAATGGTCTTGTACGCTAACTTTGCGCTTTACGTAAGATTTTTGAAAATCAACTGAAGCAGTCGCAAAAAGAAAGCCTGAAAAAAATATTCAGGCTTGAACGGGGTTCGAACCAATGATCTCTGCGATACCGGTGCAGTGTTCTACCAACTGAGCTATCAAGCCAAAAAAATTGGGTGGGGGTGTGCTGCTGGGCTATAAAAACCCTTACCCTGTACCAGACCACAAAACGCTAATTTTGCGACCCTGTTCCAGACTAATTGTTGAAAAAAGATATCCTGTTCCAAAGGATTTTTAACGATTTTTTTTTTCTAACCCAAAAGGCTAAACTGCTAAGCAGCACTGCGAACGTGTAGCTGTATTAAAGCTTCTTTATACTCCTACGCGTTTCGTTTCGTCTGACTAACGTAGACTTCGTCTACCCTATTCCAGAGTATCAATTACCAATCTTCGTGCCAACTTCTGGGAAACCTATACCCTGTTCCAGACCAAAAAATGCCTTTTGGTATACCCTGTTCCAGACCGAAATGCTCAAAAACCATACCCTGCCCAGCGGTACGTACCTAATAGCGTATATAAGGGAGTACCCCCCCCCCCCCCCCCCCCCCCGGGCTGGTCACTTGGTAGCATCCTAACCAAAGCAGACGCTCTTTGGTCTCGTCACGCAATCTTTTCTCTCCCACGAACCACTTGGGGGAAAAAGTACTGCGCGAGAAGCCATGATAAAACTGCAAGAAGTCTAGTGAAAACGTGAAACCGTTCCTTCACGATGTCTTTCCAGCCGGTGAAATTTCGTTTAAATGTAATAAAACTGACTTGTTAATGTTAAACAGCGACTCGCTACTGGCGCTTCCCATTTACGGCTCTATTTCAGAATTTAATTTTAATTAGCATTTTTGGAATTTTTTGAGGAAACTGAATAACTAACTTTTGAGATCTTCGCAATTATATTTCGACTTGAGCAGTTGATTTTTTTAGACCTTCTTTATAACTGCGAAGATCTCATTCTCTTTCGTTCTTCGCACCGCCGTTCACCGACACATGAATTATTTCATGTATTAATATTATTAAAATCGTGATTATGATTAATTTCTTTGATAAGTTGTTGCCTAGCGACTGGCGGGAAAATTTATTCTGTGATTTTTTTGCGCGCGCCAACTACCTTCGTCACCTGATGTGACGTCACAGACACTAATTTATGCGTTCACAAGCTTAGCGTTTCATCTTACATGTTTCAGTTTGGAAGAAGGGAAACTGCGGAAGTTGTAGTGCGTTGGTTATTCCTCGACGTAAGTCAAGTTCGAGTCCATTTTAATAAGCTGATAAGGGAGTGTTTACCACATTATAGGTTTTTAACCTATTTGCGGGCAATTTTGGACTCTATAGATACGAACGTTTTCAATCGAATGTTTTCATTTGTGATCGGACGTTCTTTTGATCACATCTTCGAATTTCAAATACGTACGCATTGTTTACTGTTTATCCGACCACTTGATTTGAATCATCCACAGCACTGAAGCGCCAACATGGCGGTTGGTAGAGGGTTCTTCGATCAGTACTCGGTATTCTGTGTGTTTGGTTCCGTTGTAGGATGTGTTGTCGTGCCGCTTATAACCCAGGTAAGAACATACGATCATGTTAATAATAATTGCATGCACCCACAAGCATTCCTGACACTTTATTCGGGCCTAAAATGCTCATGATTGTTTCCTCTCGGGTTAATTCATGTCTGGCGAAAGTCTTCGTTGTCTAAAATACCCTGTTTTTAAAATCTACAGTCCGTTGAAAGTGTGATATTCTCCGCCATCGTTATAAGCCTCACAGCGACTCATCTCACGAAACGCGTACGGGCGACCAAGTCGGAAAATTCGAACCAGGTAAGTAAAAATACTTTCGCTTTTTAAAATACTCATGTAGCTTAATCTATCAATGTTTTCTCTTGATTTGACATTTATAAAGCGGACATTTGAAACGCTAATTTCGACGTTGTGGAATCATTTCAACTTAGGTCAACACGAAAGAAGTCGAGAAGCGCTCCAGTCGAAAGCTGAAAGAGCGTGAGCGAGAACAACCATCCCATGTCAAAAAGCGGAAACCGGCCACACAACAGACACAGGTATTGAAACATGAATGTTCTCGATTATAAGTAATCCCAGAAAATCTTCACCTTCATGGCTCACATTGCCATTAGATTTGGGTTGCTACATGTACATAACACTTGATTCTTACATGTAGCTCGAACATTCATTGTTGCCAAGTGGCTACGTGCAAATACTTTCCAACAATCATTCAATTAAATAAATGTCGATTCGCTGTAATCAAAGGGCTGTTTCTTTCTTCGTTCGTTTATCCTTAAATCTTGATTATCTCGCCTTTTCTGCGCAGAATTATCTACACTCATGCAGTATTTCCATCTGTTAAATTATAGCAAACATACAGGCAAAGCCAATGTTGTTATGTTTTCATATACTCCCCGCATTTATAGAGCTTAGTGTATCGATTTTAATAGTAAGCTTAGCAGAAGTTATTTGACCCTTTCCACCAAACAGCGATAGTTCGCATTTTTTTATGTCAGCGCAAAATAATAATAAAATTTCGATCGCCGTTCAATTCAAAACAAAGCATACTTGTCTTGCAATTTGCATGACTTGGACGAATAAATGATTAGATGAAATTGCATGACCGCTTGAATTTTAAGTTTCTACTTTATAGGATCTCCCCTTTATTCAGCTAGAAAAAAAAGCTTTATTTGAGCTCTTCTAGGTTCTTCTAGACCTCTAAAATCGTCAAAGATCACCTTTGGCAGCTGTAATTCGAAACCCCCATATTAACATTTTCCCAAGTCTTTGTCCAGCTCGCTGTTTCCAGGTGTTTGTGAAATTTAATGGGTCGTATCTTTTTAGCAAATGACTACAAGAGTCACAGACAATCGAAAGAGAAATGATGGCGAGCATAAAAAGCTTGATTTGGCCAAACAACTTGAGTTGGTGAGTATACATGTATATGATCAGTCTCGATGTTCATTAAAAAAAAACAATAATTTATTGGTGATTATTTTTCTGTTCGGAATATTGATTAGAATATTTTGTTTTGCTGTCTGTTGTTCTTTTAAGCTTGGTTGCAGTCAAGGTGTCAATTAAGGCATTTTTACCATTTATTTTGTTGAGAAGCAATGATTTGCATGCTCGACATTAGCACAAAAATATATATATTTAATTTGCGTCTAGGTATATATTGGAAAAATACATGTTTTTATTTTATTTTGTAATCTATTGTTTGGAAGAGTTTATTCATATTTTTTATTTATGTTTATTATTATGTATTTGTTCATGAAAAAGGAAAATGATTTATGTAAATGATATGGCCATTTTCGTTGCTGATTGAAGGAGGGAGGTGTCTATGATATAAACATGGAACACTAAAGACAATTATTGCATCCATAATAACTACATGTACACACTGTACATCTATGTCAGGGTTTTTTTTGGAAAAATTATGTACTGAGAAATTTCTTGTTACAGCTAGAAATTTGCAACTGGAATTTATTTTATATAAAATTGCATGTTTACTAGTCATTTGTTACAAAAGTGAGTTATTTATAACCGTCAAATAAATTTCACTTTCTGTCAAATACATTTTATAAACTACTCTATTAAATAAATGGCCCTGACATGACATGCCATAGATAATGAATAAATAAGGAATCAGTCCAAGTCTCAGGTCTGTGCGGTATTTCGTACTCGAGTTTTGTCAGCCATATGCGTTAGGGCTGATTTAGACTGTACAACTTGGTTGCATGTGACATATGTACAACAAGCCTATGACACAAATTGTTTTGTGTAAGTCAAACCTGAGACAACTTATGAATAATTATCGTATACAACACAAAAAATGTCATAAGACTTTAAAACATGTTTCAAAACCCTACAGTAAATCGTAGCCACTAGTATAGACAATGTTAAATGATGGGAGTGTATACGATTTTTGCATGACTCAAGCAGCACAAGCTACAAAGTTACATGCAACAAAGCAGGCCCGTAGGGAGGGGGGTGCGATGGGTGCATCCGCACCCCCCCCCCCCCCATGGGCTGTGGAGGTCCACCTTTTGGTTTGAAAATGAAGTCTGAATCAAACAATCGCAGCTTTGAACGTGTTTACATATCGTCTTCATCAACAAAGTCAACATCAAGCGAGTCATTTTCATCCAAATATTCACTCCTTTGGCTTAAAAATGTATTTAATCGAAGGTCCGCATTATGTATTTTTTGTATTCTTTCATCGGTATTTTCTTTAACTGAACAGTTCCAGAAATATTCATGTTTTTACGTTTGCTTTTGGCTGCCTGGTTTCATATCATACTGCCTTCAAAATGTACGAAATGCAGTCTCAGACAACCTAATCTTTCAAAATTTCCCGGGGGGGGCATGCCCCGCACCCCCCTAGTAGCTCGCGCCTTTGGCGCTCGTACGACCCCAACTTTGCCACTCAAATGCATCCCCCCATTAAAAATCCTGTCTACGGGCCTGCAAAGTTGTACCATCTAGAACAAAGTTGTACCATCTACATGTAAATCGGTCCAGACAAATGGGTTTCTCAATTCACCACTTTAGAAACGAGAAACAATCTGGGTGCACGTGATCGAGTTGCATCTCGCAGTCACTTGTTGGACCATTACTGGGGATGCTTCATCAGGCTGGCTGCCATTTTGACCCCAGTAAAGCCTGGTTCACACTAACGACATAACAACATAAGCACTACTCCCCCCTGAACGACATACATGTAAGAACGTTGTTATGGTGTTACAAATGTATGTCGCTAGTGTGAACATGCAGTCATAATGACATATTAGCATCCTAACAACATGGACATACAAATGTACATGTAGGTGCAGACGTCGCCTCCTCGAACAGTCGCACCAAGTTACGTCGCCATGCACATACGAATGTACATGTAGGTGACATCGCCCCCCTCGAACAGTCGCCCCCAACTGTAGTTTAACATCGCCCCGATGTTTAGTTACGTCGCCCCAAAGTGTAGTTACATGTACGTCGCCCCCAAGTGTAGAAGTGTAAAGTTTTAGAGATATTGACTTGACTTAACTTATTATATTACTCGAGAGATGGCGCATATGAAAATCGCCGTATAATGCATTGCAAATCTTGGTA